TGTCAGCTTTTCAAGCTTTATATTCCGGAAAACCACCAAGTTTCCACTATTTACAGCATGGCATGACAGTTGTCATCTCGATATAATTTAGGCGTGTTGTTGAACCTATGAAAGTCACGTGAACAAAAACACGCGATCAACCGATAAATTGTGTCAAAAGTAATACGTTGTCAGACATTTGTATTTCTGAGTTCAGGAGCGGAGCCACTACTTTTACTTCGTAAATGACGCAGAATTGTCTCAAATTTTTCTGTTAAGCGCTCCTCCATGGCTACCAGTCGCGCCTCTATGTTATCTAGCCGTTTCTCGAGAACTTTCAATTCTGTCCCGTTCGTGCAAGGACCCTGATCACAAGTCAAATGCGTGTGTAACGAAGGAAGAGTGGAATGGATCGACGGCATAAGCGTATGGATTCTTGGCTCGCTTCCACTCGCAGACGGTCGGGCGGCACGTGAATGTAAATCAATGGCAGAGGCAGCGTTCTGATCCTGTGGTAGTCGCCCATTAATAATAAATGTTGGTGAACCTGACCGTTCGAGTTTGTCGACTCCTTGACGTGAAGAGAATGTTGATCGGGCGTTAGATAATTTTCGAGATCCCGGGTGAATTTCTTCTGGAAATAAGACAATTTCGTCTTCCTGTGCAGAAAATACAGAGCAACTTAATTTATTTACTTCCAGAAGAAACAAAATACAGGTTAAATTTATAGACACTAGCAAACAAAGTAGCCACACAGTAGCGGTTGTTTGCATGGTAGACCTTGGAAACAATCTACCTTAAAAAAGAAGAAAAAATCTTGAGGGGTACACCTCACTTGGTTTGACTATAAAAGAGTAAGAGACTTCCTTCAAAACACTTATGGTAGCATTTGTTGATTAGTATGAAACCACGTGGTACGAGTAGCAGTTGGCGTTATGTTTCCGTACCTCCACTTCGTGTCCCAGATTATATGCCAGCTCCAAATGAGTGATGAACTCCTCACGAAAGGAGGAGTAAGCCTTCAGTACCGCAACTAACTCGCTCCAGGCCACTGAATGGATCTCAACATGAGTTTGAACGCGGAGACTGGCGTTAGCTTTAGGAATGTACATACTCTGTACTGTGCTGTAATCGCAACTGATGACATCACCCTTACCTGTCAATCAAGTAGAAGAATGTTTTGACTGAGTGCAAAGAAGCACTGATTGATGCATCGTAAATATTGACAATAAGAAAGCATGATCTACAAATTACCGTCGCTGACAAACGCGAATAACACATTAAACCAATTAGTGTCAACCAAACTAAGTGCAGATGGTCTTAATAAACGTCCTAAAAGCCTACAACTGGCGCCAAGCGCGGGAAAATATGCAGCCGTACTAAATCACGGGAAAATAAAGGCCTGATGCGAAGCGCGGGAAAAAATTGTAGTCGGTACTATAAAACCGCGGGAAAATATATACCTGGTGGCTAGCGCGGGAAAACATGTAACTCGTGTCAAACGTGGGAAACAGAACAAAACCTAGTAACCAATGGTTTAATTCCACTTTTGATCAGTTTAAATAAACCGGAATCTAACTTGTTTGTCTTAATTGTCACAAATATATTTGCACACGTGCAAATTGCGACGTTTTCTCGGGTATTTCCTTCCCTTGTAGTTTTTCTGCATTTGTTGTTGTTGTTCTTGTGTTTTCCCTTCACACTCGGATACAGAGAGGAAGAGAGCGAGACTTGACTAACAACACAGTTATAGTCACGTCATGCTCAGTGTTATAGTCACGTCATGCTCACTGTTACAGTCACGTCATGCTCATTGTTATAGTCACGTCATGCTCACTGTTATAGTCACGTCACGCTACAGAAACCAGAATAAGCTCAGGAGGAGGGAAAAGTAAGCTCTGGTCCAAGCAAGGTGCCGAGGAATAAAATCAAAGAAAACTTTGAACACCAACCTAATGTTAGCATGGTCTCGTCAAATTTGACAACTTCGATATTTCCTTTCGCTATGAAGTAAAGACGTTTGACCTCGTCTCCCTGTTTAATGATGAAGTGACCCGGAAGATAATGTCGAATCTTAAACCGCAACGCAAGTGCTCGTAAACAGCCCTCGCTAGCAGTTTTAAACGCTAAGCACTCTGTGAATAAATTTTTGTGCAAATAAAGGCAGACATCAGCTTGAAGAGACTCGGGAAAACGTTTGAGGACCTAAAGACAAGAAATGAGCTGTCAATAATAAAGATATTTTAACATGGAGCCCACGTCACATACGTGGTTTTCAGGGTGGCCCTGCATTCCTTAAAAAGCTAAATTTACAAGCTCAAAAACGTTAGCTATTCTACATTTACAAAGTTAAAGTTTAAAATGTATAAATTATAAGATAAAATTAAGCGATACTCTTAAGGAGTCCTCTAAAAATTAGAATGTTTGAACTGTTAAATCTGGTAAAGTGTTCCAATCATTAATGGCATGGTAAACAAAACGGTTCTGGCCCCAGGAGCGACGTGATTTGTAACAAGACACTCCTGGTGATATCAGCGTGTTCTCTAGAACAGTATTCACTTTGCAAAATCACTGCCCAGGGGCGGAGGACACTTCCATATAATATGATTGGGTGTTCGTCGGAAGTTTCCAAAAAAAACCCTAAATGGTAGCAAAATCTCGTTTTGTGGGCGTGGTGCCAATTCAACATTACCCCTTAGAGGTATAGATCCTGAAACAACACATTAACTGACACTATGACAATATTTTTTAAAATAGCAATAAAGACGATACATTGACTACCTTCTACCTGTAAAGATTTTTGAAAACGTTGTCATAAATCTATATCCTATTTAAGTGGCTAATTTCTAATGGAACATTTTAGAAGATGAGTCGTTATGAATGAGACAGATAAAATTCAGTTGACTGACAAATAATTCCTGTTTCATTTTTGGCTCAATATCCTAAGAGGTACCGCGCGCGATAACTCTCGCGGAGGTCATTTTCTATTTTAACACCCCAAGGGGTAGCACAACACGAATGTTAACCCCGACGAGCACCCCCGTCACTTTTATATGAGAGTTCACCCGGCAATAAATAGTATTCCCCCAACGGCGTAACTAGCATCAAGTAATTGCGTTACGAGACTTTGTCACAACTTCCTAGATTACCAGAATTGTAACTGTAATGCATTCTTTTATCCTGGTATAAAGAATACAATATTTCAATCTGTTCCAGAGTCTAACTCTAGTCAATATATGTGCCTTGAAACTTAAAAATGTATATGAATGAAACCATAATACGTGACCATTTAAACGAAAGCTATTGAGTAGTACTTTCATGTGGTACCGTTTGTTATGATTTGCAAAAACCCTTGTGTGTGACCATTCAAATGAAAGTTATTGAGCGGCACTTTCATGCGGTACAGTTCATTATAATGCACGAGGTTAGCCATATATTAACTATTAATTCCTATTTCTCAAAAAGCGAAGTTCCTAGCCTACGAAAGTATGTCAATTCGCTCGCCACTGGTGCACACATACCGTTTCCATGTCAACGCCCTTCGTATAAGCCCATTCGTGTCTGAAGTACTCGTCCAGCTCCTCTTTAGTGGACTTCGGTATTTTGTAAAATTTAACAAAGTCCTCGATAACTCTCAAATCTCGGTGAAATCGAGAAGTACGAGAATATAGCCTTTGAATGATAGCAGTCAAATTTCCAAATATGGAGGCGTACATCAGAGCTACGGAAAAAAGATGAATTTTCCTCAGTCTAGCAGCATAAGGATTATAAATAGGATGTAAAGAGTGATTCGCATTAATTTCCTTTGGTGTTGCATCTCTACACGTTTGTTTAATACACTCAGGCCACTTTTTCATGCCAATGAGAAGTTAAATCAAAACCAATCGTGAGTGGCTCGTACTCGTTGACTAGTTCGTTGGATTGTCCATGTCCTTTGTGATTGGCTAAGAGTGATAGCTTTGGTTTGGTTTAATACGACACTCAGTTGAAAACCGCTCTAATGTATGTTACCCAATAACATAATGTGTTAAGAAGACAGTTCCGAAGTGGCGTGACACGCGAATAGCGCGCGCGCGCACGGAAACACTTTGAATTTAAGGTGGCTCAAACAAACGGTAAAAAACACATTTGTTTGGACTAAAGCCCAAAATCTTAACAGAGATGATAGCAAAACGCTATTGCATGTAATAAGTTTGAAAAGACTGGGTGTGAAAGCGAAT